TTTTGTGTTGAACATGTAGAACATTTTTTATGGTTAGTATTCATTGATAAGAATAGGAATAAGGTGTTCTATAGTTGAGAAATATTCAGTTACTAAAGCAATGTTAAGATTTTCTAGTAGTTTGTCCTTTACAATATGTTTGAACGTGAAGGACAGTTGCTCCATAGCCTTAAAGAGCTGATGAAAATCGGAGAGATAAGTCTACAGAACTATTGCATAGATTTAGCCGAGAAGTTTAGTTATGCATTCACTGGTACAGTAAGAAGTAAACCTTAGCTTCTGAAAAAGTCCAGGAACGGAAGATGAATCTGTTAATGGACTGTTCAGTATTGCTAGCTTCGATATCTTGCTTGAGTTCTTCAGGGCCCAAGTTAGTCCATACGAACCTACAAGAAATCCCTTAAGGGGAATTGCGATCATATGTTAGACACAGTATTTCGTAAGGACTTCACAAAAGTTAAATGCAACTTGAACATACATTTATTTTTAAGAGATGAATTCCATCGTTTAATATGTAAATGTATCACATCGTTTTACTAAATTTTGAATGCAAAAGATGCTACCAACTACTGATTTATTCATTCTTTAGGTACCTGAACAACTAGGAAAAAGGGGGATTTGACCCTCTAACACCTCAAGCAGTTTATCCATGCATCGTGGAACTCCTTTTCTATGAGAAATGAAAGAAATGCATTTATGAGGTTTTCTGCTGGAAAAACTGCTTCATGTTATATAAGATGTTTTCATCATAAAACCTGTGTAATCAAAACCATATCCTGGCTGTGGTTTGTCACTGAAACCAAATCCTATCCAGTCTGGTGCAAAGCAATGGAACCCTGAATCTGACAACTGTTTTAAGAGGAAGAAAATTAACAAAAAAAGAGATAACCGGAGAAAATTTAAATAGATTTAATCATAAGATGCTGAAAAACATGAAATCAAGGTAAAGTGACAGTGTAAAATCAAGAACAAGTAATGCTCAAAATCTATTAGAGAAACATATTTTAAGGCACTCTTGATCTGGAGAAAGAAGGGAACAATAAGTACTTCAAATTATTGCATTACTTACATGGTAACAGCTGACACTAACAGAACACAGTTCATTATTGGCTACTCGGGTTGAAAAGTTCAAGGATTTTGAAAAGATCAAAAGATGCAATTGCTTGTGTTGTTCTATTCTCCAATCAAAAATTAAGTTTTGCCTCGTTATTACGCGAATTACAGTGATGAAACTCTAATTCTGACGGGAAAAACTCCAGAAAACATTTAAACAATTTTTAAATTTTGTCCTTGAGAATTGGCTTATAAATGAGAAGCTCAAAATTATTTATTCTGATGAGCTTGATTGCATACAAAATAGAAGTAGCATGAAAACCTGAGACATAACAACTCGGTAGCTAAAAGATTGCGTAGGAGCACCATGAAGGAAGACAATTGTTCCTCTTCTGCTACTTGCTGACCCTGCAAAATAGGACAAGGGAAAAAAATAACCAAAAGCGAGCATTTTCCATACGTTTCTTAAACTTATTAGAAACCAATTCCTCAGCTAAGAAATAAGCAATACCAGTTTCTCTCACAAACCATCTTAACTTGCCAGATTTAACGTATGACCCGTATTCCTTGCCCTTGTCTTCTGTCCTCTACCAACACAAAAACTATTACTACATTCCCACTCAATGAAAACCATCATCACTGATCAATCAGACATTAATAGTTGAAGAAGCATCATGTCATGCACAAACAACACAAAGTCTTCGATGTTATATATCAGGAATCAAAGGAAGTAGAAGGAGAAAAGAAAGATTGGTACATAAAGCATTTGGCCAACGTTGCCATCCTCAGCAGGGTTCTCAGGCAATTGAATAGCACTGCGGCTTGAAGGGTTGTCAGTGACAAACCCGAAAGGGTTGAATTCTGAGGCTTCTTTGTCCTTGGATTCACCCTTCTCTGTAGAGCTAGCTCTCACTGTAACACTTCTTGTGGGTGATAGTCTTCTTTTACAGCAGTATGTGGTGGAAGAAATGGCAAGATTGAGAGTGGGAGAAAACATGGCAGAAAAAACCATTGTTGGGTTTGTGATCAGTGGCAGAGGTGACTAACGGTTCATAACCAACGATTCTAGCCAAACTTTTGCTGTTTGATATTTATCTTTTCTTAGTTGCTTCATAAATTGCGGTTGATGTCCCCACTTAAACGTAGTCCTCATATATTTCCACCTAAGATGTGGCATATAGTGAGAACTGGTAAGAACACACCACGTGTGCTAGCATTTTTTTTTTATAGTTATCAAAATAAACACAACTACTTTCATGAAAAAAAATGTATTAAAAAGTTGTAAGAATAAGGACAAAATTGTATAAAATATGTACACAAAATGTGTAACGTTGTATATATAAGTCATCCGTAACAAAGCAAGTAGCATGTCAATGGTAATAAAGACAATAAGCACTTGTGTACATAATGGTTAATAAAATTATTTGATGCAAATTTGTAACGAAGCAATTAACATGTTAATGGTAATAAAGACAATAAGCACTTGTGTACATAATGGTTAATAAAATTATTTGATGCAAATTTGTAACGAAGCAATTAACATGTTAATGGTAACAGAAATAATTAGCAGACTCATAATAATTCAAATTTTGTGACATCTTGTGTCAACCGACAACAGCAAAGTAATTAATATGTTTAAGTTAACTTATTGAGAGTCACAACATTAAGTGGGTCAGTTTCTGGCTTAACGAGTTCAAAATACTTGTTACTGGACAAAAAGAAACTGACACGAGCTGAGAATTGATATTTGCAACCATGATCAACTTCGATTTGGATTTTTCCTTGCCCTTTTTCTGCTGTATACTGTGAAATTGACAATATAAGTTTGATATACATATTTAAAAATTAATTTAATTGTGACAATAAATATATTTCCCCACACAATGTGCGGTGGTGTCAAGTTTCTAAAATGATATAATGGAGATCAAAATTGACATGACTTAAGCACAAAAGTATAGAATATGTATTTCTCTGTAAACGTGCGAACTGCACTACTTAGTAGGCTTGTAGCTACTCTTCTGGATCATCTTGTTAAAATGTTCACCAGAAATCATTACATGAACATGAACCATGCCTGAAATGATGGAATCTGGTTTTATCTCTAATTATTAGTTCCCTTTTGTAAGCTTTTGACACCAGCTTTGCCATCTGGTGACAATCAACACACATTCTAAGGTTCTTAACTATTCTTATAGTAACTCCAGGGCCTGAACTAATAAGGGCATAGGCAATAGCCAACTTCTCACTATGCCGGTAAAGTGCGGTCTCCTTATCCTCCTCCCCTAGATCAAGGAAAACCTCTGATGTATCAGGTGAGTATCCTGCTTTTATCAAGTCCTGCATCATGTTTTCTAACTTTGCATATATATTATTAGATTGAGGATGTGACTGATCCCCAGCAACAAATTCATAAACATTGCCATTCAACTCCATCAAACTGCAACCTGGTGTTTTCTTGATTCCCCTCTCCATCATCATTTTCCTGACCTGACGCAAGTTTTCCCATCTCTTGCAGGCAGCATATATATTACATAACAAGACATAAACAGCCCCATTTTCAGGCTCTAACTCAAGAATTTGTTTAGCTGCCATTTCTGCTAGATGCACATTTTTGTGGACTCTACAAGCGCCGAGAAGTGATCCCCAAACAATTGAATTTGGTTTTACAGGCATATTCACTATGACTTCAATGGCTTCTTCTAAATGCCCAGCACGACCAAGGAGATCAACCATGCATCCATAATGTGTCACATTAGGCTTAATTCCATGTTGCATGGTCATGGAAGTGAAAAAACTTTTTCCTCTCTCTACCATGCCTGCATGTGTGCATGCACACAGGACACCAATATAGGTTATCTCGTCTGGTGTAACTGAAGCCTCTATCATACTTGAAAACATGGCAAGAGCTTCTTCACCATGGCCATTAATGGCAAGGCCAACTATCATCGCTGTCCAGGTAAATTTGTCTTTCTGACGCATTTCCTTAAATACTGTGTTTGCTCTTCCAACATTCCCACATTTAAAGTACATGTCTATCAGAGCATTCCCGACAAAAGTATCATTTTTAATACTGTTTTTGTCAATGTAAGTCTTTACCCATTCCCCTAGCTCAAGTGCTCCCAGATGCGCACAAGCAGTTAGAATGCTAACCATGGTGAACTCGTCAGGTTTCACATTTGACATTTGCATCTCACGGAAGAGTGCTAAAACCTCTATGAAACGGTTCATTCTGAGGTAGCCATCAATCATAGCAGTCCACGAAACATAATCTCTCTCAGGCATTTGATCAAAATACTTCCGAGCTAAATCAATTTGACCGACATTGGCAAACCCAGTAACAATACAAGTCCAAGAAATAACATCTCGAGCCTTCATATTGTCAAAAACACCTTGTGCAGCATCCATTTCTCCACAAGATGCAAACATATCGATCAAAGCATTTTCCAGTATGAGATTAGGTTCAACAATACCTTCCTTAATATACTTAAAAATGTTCTTGCCCCCATCTAAATCCTTCAGTTTGGAGAATGCGGAAAGCATCAATACTAGTGTAACTGAATTGGGCGACACTCCTCTCTTCTCCATCTCATTAAAAAGCTTCTTTGATTTCTTAAATTGCTAAACTCTGTTATACCCGGATAGCATTATATTCCAGGTAACTACTTCCCACGCATCACCCATATAAAAAACCTTGTAAGCCAAATCCACAAGCCCACACAAGGAAAACATATGTATGAAAGCCTTTTGAACAAACAAATTAGAATCAAATCCATGCTTCACTGCATGGTTAAGTAACACTTTCCCATGCTGCAAAGCCATATCACTGTTAAATCCCTTCAACAAGAACGGAAATGTATAACGGTCAGGCTTGATGCTATTAGCCAGCATAAATAGATACATGGAAACTCCATTCTCAGGACGGTTGATCCTAGAATACCCCTTGATCATGGTATTCCAAATGAAAGCAGTTGGGTGCGGGATTGTGTCAAACACCTGACGGGCATAGTCCATATCCCCTGATTGATGAGCACAACAGAAGACTATGACTTGATTTTGAAATAAAGGGTCTGAAGAGAGACCAATTTTGACAGTGTGGGAGTGAATTTGCTTTAGGTGGTACATGGACTTGCACCTCTCAAGCAGAGAGATTGGAGATTCTCCAAAGCAGTTTGAAGAACACACAACAGCAGTAGCAAGAGTGTTATAAATCACTCTATTGGGGAAGGTTGCAAGTGAAAAGAACAAGGGAGTTGACAAAGATAACATGGACAACATGTCATCTTACTCACAACATGCAACGTTAATTTAAGTGTGTCTAATATCAATGTGACAACTATCTATTCATGTTTTGTGCTCCACTATTCTACTGGTTTACAATCTAAGTATGAATTTCAACCTTTAACAAGAGAAAAAAATGAAAAAAGATATAAGAAATAAGATCAATAAACTCATGATCTTGAATTGGAAATAGTAATACTGGAAATAGTTATTACTCATGGTCATGTGATGTGTAAGTGATTCATTAAGAATAATAGTGTATTATTGTTCTGTACTTCTCTTAATATAATTTCTTTTATTTTAGTCTCTCATAAAAGTTTTATTTGTATTTTTTTATCTTAATTGATTATTAGTTCTTTGTAAATGTTTTATTTTTATCTTGAGTATCGATATTATTTAAATAATGTGCAATTTGGTAAGTGATCATATAGATAATAGTAGAATTAAGATGTGTTTTTTAATTATTTTATTTTGAAGGAAGAAAATAAATTAATATCATGTAAATAACTTTATTTTCTTGATTTATATATGCTTTTTTCCTAAAAATTCAATACTTATTTGATGATAAAACTAAAAAAAGTTATATATCTAACACCCTTGAATAATTATATAGGGTTTTTAAAATCCTCGTCTTCTCGATTTCACCCTTAAATAGAGAAGCATGAAAAAAAAAGGGACACAAACCTAAGATAAATATACATGTGCTAATTCTAGCTAATTACTTAAAATATCTCAATATGCAATAGAGAAGAAAATGGGTTTTTTTTACAGAAAATAAAAATGGGGAAAAATAATTTAGGACTAAAAAAAATCTATGATTTTATTGGATACTAAAAGAAAAAAAAATACACGTCTGACTCCTATTTTATTGCTAACATGTCACCTAATAAACAGCCAATCATTTAAGAAATATTACTAAATTACAAACATAGAAAAAAAATAAAAAAGCTAGAATAGGAAAAGAAATTATAAAAAATCATAACCAAAATCTAAAAATTTACTAGAAACTAAAAATTACTTAATTAAAAAATTTAATCTCAAAAACTTGGATTAAAAGTTTTTTTTTCAAATAAATTATTTAATTTTTTTATTTACTGTTCTTATAAATTTTGGTACACAAAATAAAGGGAATATATATATTTACTCTTCAAGAATTGAATTAATTAAAATTATTGAGAGGCGTAACACTTTTAATTTTTATTTAATAATATACCAATATACTTTATCTTCAAAAGAAATATTTAGCTCTCCTTTGTTTTTAATACTTTCAATAAAGACACACGTTTTTTTATTTAAATTATTAAATAAACATCCATCTTCCTCATCTTTTTGATAAATTGAAGTCACTTCCTTTATATTTGTAAGAAAATATCACCTACTTTACTTATGAAAGTATTTTTTAACATGTATTTAATTTTCTTTTTAAATTTTTATAATCTTTTATTTAATTTTAATAAAAAATATTATTATTTTATTAAAGATGTAAAAAAAGATTAATATCATTTACTAAACGCATAAAAAGTATACCGGTTTAAAAATCTATTATATGAATCAAATTTATTAATAATATATAAATAAAAATATCTATTAAAAAATTAAATATTAGAATCATCTCAAGATATATAAAACCCAAAAATGTCATTTTAAAAGAAAAGTAGAGGTCTTAAACCTTTCTTCATTCGCCAACTCTAACATAATTATAATTAATGGATAATTTTATATATATATAAAATATTTATGTTTGATTTACAAGATACTTCATTTTCTTGTGGTTTATCACTTCGCTAACCTATTATAAATGAGAAGGAATATTATATTTCATTAAAAAATTTAATAAGGCAAAATGCAGTGTATTATTCATTCATAAAAAATAATTGTTTTAATCCAGTAACAGAAAAAAAATGCTAATAAAATCAATCTACTCACTTAATTTAATTGTTTTTGTCTTAAAAAATATGTACACAAATCATTCTTCTAAAAAAACATAATTACTTTTTTTATTTCTTTAAAAATTTTGCGAAAATTAACTGTAAAAAACCCTAATTAATGTCCTCTTTTCCACTCAATTGCGGCCCAACTAATGAAAAGATAATTTGTCCACCTTGTCACTCATTCAACCAATTTCATTGCTCATTAATGTAGCATCTTTCTTCATCATTATAGATTTAATAAGAATCTATAAAACTAAATAAATCAAAAATGAAAATTGATAAATCCAATTCATTAATTACAACTACCGGTAACATTTCTCCTGTTTTTTTTATAAGACTCATTCTACATCATATTTAAAAGAAAAAACAAAATTGTCAAATAGACTAAAACCATTTCCAAAAGGTTTGGACATTTCCATATGATTTAGATATTTCTGTCTAAGTTTAAAGCATATCATTAAAATCAAAACATCATATGCAAGTTAACTTCTTAAAATATTGTTACATGTTAAGTAGAACCGATCATTTTTATCATAAAATATAAATCCTGAAATCACAATATGGATCAAACCAAACAGGTACTATATATGGTTAAAACATCACATGAGTATGATTCATATGTTTGGTCGATTTGACTTCCAACCTGACCACTGGCATTCATATTCTCTCCTATCAAGCATATTATACATCAAATTAGTAATTAGGCCAATGTCTATACATACGGGATAAAAACTGCCACTGTACCAACCTAGAAAAGCAATCCTTCCACGTCCTTCATTCAAATCTTGAAACTATGAATCTTTCATGTTTTTCATTGAAACAATGAAAGTATGAATAAAATCATTTCTTGTTACAAAAGGTTTATTTTGGGCAAGAAGATTAAATTTGAATAGAATTAACCTTTATACTATAAACATGTAATGAAAATCCTGACAATAACACGAATTAAAATCTACTCTGTAATATGCCACTTCATAAAAAATGTATACCTGAAATTCCATTTTCCCATGTACAACTGAAATATCTATAGTCATTCTGACTGGAACCAGTCCTTGGCACAAATAAGGGCTTCAAGAGTGAGAGAGCTTAAAGAACTACGGTAGCTATCCATTTTTCTAATCTGGGTGTCAAAAACAGAATCTGCAGACAATGTGGAAACTGGTAAAGACAAAATATCAGATGCTATTCTAGACAATGTCGGGTATTTCAATCCATTTACACTCCACCAGTTCAGAATATCAAATTCCTCTACACTGGTCAGCAGAGGCTCTTCCAGATACTCTTCCAATTCTGATTTAAATTGAGGGTTACCAGTAAAATCAGATATATAAAATTCATAATCCGAAAGACCATCACCATCAACAAAAAGAGAGCAGTCAATAGAATCTTCTTGACATGTTTCTTTTATCATAATGTCATCCCCATCATCATCATTTGTTGCTTTAAGAAACATTTGGGTGCTATATTCAATGAATAGATCACGAAGACCATCCTCAACTATCTTTATCCAGGCCCCAGCATTCTCACCAAATGTCTTGGCAAAGGTAAATTCCACAAGTTTCATTTTATGCCTTGGGTCCATAGTTACAGCAATTGCCAAGATGATGCAGCTTTCTCTCCAATATTGGTCAAAGTTCTCGTGCAAAGGAAAAATTAAACTTCTTATGAAAGGATCCTGGATGAAGACTGCTTGTGTCAGCTGCACCTGAATTTTTGACACTTCAGCAAAAAATAAATTTGAAGTTGGGTACGGTTGCTGTGTCAGAATTTTGGCTGCATCATACAAATACTTCAAATATGTGCAGAGAGTTTCAACCTGCTTCCAGTCATCCATTGTTAGAGTCATTCTGTAATCAGAATCAGTGGTATCAAGGCAGATGAAGATTTCCTTTAATTCACAGGCAGCTACAAGCATATGATAAGTTGTGTCCCATTTACACGGGTCATCAATTGAAAGATTCACCATACTAGGTACTTGTAAATGTTGCTTCAAGTCAATAAACTTCTCTTTATGGGTTTCTGAAGACTTCACATGCTTCACACTATCGCGAACCTTGCTAATAGTTTCTCTCATTGCCCATAGTGCATCAGCTGCAAGGCGACTAAGCACACGAGCATAGCAATTCTGGTTTAACAACTGACCATTGAGTGTGGCAGGGTTCTTAACAGAGAGCAGGCCTCTCAGATTTTCTATCACATTCTCACTGGAAAAGGATTTATCAAGAGCAAGAGTAAACAGCCGACCCTCCAAATGCCAATCGGATAAGCATGTCACTAAAGTTTGATTTAAAGAATCTTCAGAACCAGGAAATGGTACTGTAACGACATTGAGAATAGGACGATGCAAGTTCCAATCACTATCAATGAAGTGTCCTCGAACAAAAACATAGCCCATTGCCTGGTTGGAAGTCCACAATTCCAATGTCAGGTTGACTTGTCCAGGAATCACATTAATGACATTCAACATATTTTGCTTTTTCCTGAGGTAAATAGCAATACAATCCCTTTCAATAGAATTTAGACATGATGGATTGAACTGGGGTTGAAGAATCCGCAAAAAATCAATGAAACCCTGTTGCTTCACAATATGAAGAGGATAATCATGTAAAATTATCATTTTGGCAACATCATGGTTGCAACGCTCCTGATCAAATGAGATACCATTAGTAAACCTAGAATTCTCTCTTGGCCGTTTCTTGGGAGGATTGGCATTATATTGAGAACCATCTGTTTTGGGATATGAGATTTGTTGGTTTTTCTCCCGAAGTACTTGACAGATTCCCATCGAAATGTGTCGTTTCAGATGGCTTGTACCAGCTAGTTTTGAATCAGTTATATAAGAAAATGACTTTTTGCACTGGTTACAGTAAGCCCTGGTACATCCAGCTCCAACAGCTTCTACTGTGAAGTATTCCCACACCATAGACTTTTTTCTCATCCGCTTATTGGGTTGCGTTCCTGAATAAGGTATCACATCATTATTATCGGGGGTAACATGAGCATCAAGCTCCATGATAGCAAAATTAACCCTGGAAAACCAAAAAATTGGAACGCCAGAAGGGCATCAATGAGTGGCTTACCTCCAGAAATAATAAAGGCAGGCTAAAAGTTATATTATTTTTTATACAAAACATAAATAAAAAACTACAAAAAATAAGAATTTAAAAGGCCCCCGGAAGTTCAGCTGCTAAGGGCAAACTATGATAAAAGATATATATAAATAAAAAGGAAATTATATTGCAAAACAAAGAAACCAGGACTCTTAATTTTGTTGACAATCTTGAGTTTTGGAGGAAGGTTGAATCATATAGCAGTCGAAAATCACTACACTACTCTGCTATAGCAAGCTATTGGCTACTACAAATTTGTCCAAACAAAATCCTTTTTCCATTGGGTTAGCTGCACGGATTCTGTCAAAAATTGAGTTAGCACACCACAACAACAATATTAAAAAACTAAACATCCATCATAGTTATTAGATTCTTTCGATTTGAATCATATCATTCAATGTAATTCAACTTGACCAGTGTTTTGAATCTCGTAATCAGTCTCCAATGACTTGAATCTTATGATACATAGATGAATCAACAGAATTTTGTATCACCAAAACAAATCAACGTTCTATTAATTCTTTACTTTTTCTTCTACCTTTTCTCACTAATATAAAAATTCGAAAACTTATAGAAGCTAAGAAACATATTTTATCCTAATATTCCACTACTTTATTCATCACACTCTATTTGGTTACTCCATTGCTTTGTTTTGATTTTTTTTCAAATTTTCAAAAAATTACATGCTCGATTACGGCCTGTACTTTTGTTTTGTGAGACTTATGTACAACCTCTTTAGTTATTTCTAGTTTAAAATGATTGCACGATGTACTATCATCATTTATATGATATACATGAACAGTAGCCGGCCAAGTTCTGTCCTCGCCATTGTGAAAACTCGTCGGACCAACAACAGTTATAATATTGTGAGCGGGGATTAGTCTCTAGCAAAGTGAACGTAGAAAAGCCCATGGCAGAACAAAAGAATTTTGTTTTGTCTCCAAATCTTACATTCACTTCTTTGATTTGAAAGTCATAACTCTAAAGTTGCATGGCAGTTTATGATTTAATGTCCATCCGTGCTATAACTATCTATGTCAGCTTCATTCAACATGTATCTTGATGAAAGTAACTTTCCCTTGAAAGATACACACACTTAAAACCAGTGTTAAATTGAGAATGGCAGAAAATGTCAGAAAGCTGATAATCTGCTATATCATATATGCATAAAAAAATTAAGTTGCACGTAAATAAAATTAAAATGCATAAAGCTTTTCATAATACTAACTGACAAAGTTCAACTGGCCGGAGACTTGTCAGTGATGACAAGAGGGTGAAGAAGGAGGTGAACAAACACGGATGGAGGAGTGGGGACTCGTTCTTAGGTGAAGCCCTGAACAGAGGATTTTGTATAAGAGAAGATTAATAGGTTTAAGTGAGTAGGGGGAGTAGAAAACAAGGACTGAGTTGGAAAAAAACATGTGTAGTCCCATATCCATCTCAAAACCACATCATGAAGTGAACGCAGATCCTGGGTATTGTGCCATGCAACAGAGCTATAGTCACTACTTAAACAACACTGCTTAAGTCAAAGCCTACAAATAACTTGTGCTCATTTATCCCAGTTATCTCAACAGTCATACTAACACTCAAAATTAAAGGTAGCATTCACATTTCTTTCTCCATAACATCCACAAACAATCCAATCTAGTTATACAGTTAAAACTCTGAAAGGGGTGGATTGACAAATAAAACACCATAATCGCATATCCGCCCGCATCATCAACAGAGCAAACAAAACAAAATTTAAACAAAAATTAAAACAAAAACCCGATTCTCTATTTCTTCAAGAGAATAAAAAAAAACAAAATAGCATGAACAGTACACAAGCCTCAGCACAACATTTAACTTGAACACAATAGCCGACTAACTCATTTAACATCCCAATGACAATGCGTGTCACGATTAAAACAAAAATATCAATTCAAATAATATAAATACCGTTGTTTCCTCGTGTTTCCGTTCTTCAGTTTAGGGATCGAACTTAAACAATACACAACAGTGAGTAAAACAAAAACAGAGAGAAACTCTAATCCATTACAGAGTAGCATCACATTCAATTCAAATAGTGAAGAGATATATATATATATATATATATATATATATATATATATATAGAGAGAGAGAGAGAGAGAGAGAGAACCTTGAGAAAAGGGAAAGTTGCACGAGCTCGCGCCACTGCCACGGCGGCGGAAGAGTGAAACGGCGTTGTGAAGTGAATGGAAAGAAAAAACGAATGAGATAGGAGTGCTTATACGCTCACTCACACGTGTGAGTATGTGCGTATATATAGATGAATATATATAGAGAGAGAAGCAAGGAAAACGATTATGGTTGGAAGGCGGAGAGAATGTGTACGCGCGCGGCCGAAAGAAGGAAAGGAGGCAAAGAGGGGTTCAAACTATGCAACTTTTGAACTGCTTCCCGATTTGCACTTCTAAACCCTTCATACTTATTAATAGGGTTCATCATAGATTTAATATAATAATATCAAATAATAATATTATATAGATATATAGTAATGTAGTAACTCAATTTAAAAAAATAAAAAGGGAAAAAATGGAGATTATGATGTTGGGAATTCTAATGTTTTTTCTTTATCAAGATAACAAAATGTCTAGAAAAAAAATACAATAAAGTGAAAGATAAAAAAAATAAAATAGAAATTGCATAAAGAAAAACTTAATTCAAATTAAAATATTTTTTTACTTTTTTATCCTAAAAATTTACTCTTGAAGTCAATGGTGAATTGAGGATACAAGTATTGTGTAATTACATATAAAATAATATTTTATAACGACTAAAATATCTTTCAATTTTTAAAGTGTTAAGAAAACAAATTTTAAAAGGTTAAAAAATATTTAAAAAAATTATAGAACAAAGTATTCTAAGTTTAAAAATATTTTAAGTGTTTAATTTCTTTCTATAGATTATAATGAAATATATTTTATACATTAATAAAGGTTACAATATACTATTTACATGGAACATGGAATATTAAATTAATAATAATTCAAATTTGAATATAATTTTTTTTAATTTCTTTATATATTATACTCATATAATTGTTGTAGTAAAATAATGAATTAAAATATAAAAATAATTACAAAAATCATTAAAATAATATTTTACATGATAAAAATAATAAATTAAAATATTTAAAAAAGGTAAAAATGATCAATGTCTAAAAACTATTTGATATACATAGAATAAAATGTACAAAAGAAAAACATGAATAATTAAGCCTATGAATAGTTGAAAGAAAATAAAAATTATTTTAACAAAACAAAATTCTTTTAAGTTATTTATGTGATTAAACACTTAAAATTAACATAGTCAAATATTTTAATGTGAAAAAAAAATTATAAATAATCAAGCATAATGTCTAAAAATTATTTAATTAATTGAAATTGATAATACATAATTTGATTTTTGTAGACGTAGAACAGATCCAACAATTAGAAAATAAGATAAAAAAATATCTAGTAATATATATATATATATATATATATGTGTA